GGAGCCGACCTCCAACATCACACTCCATATGCTTGATATCATCACAAGAATAACACAGTCAAGGTGAAAGTTCTTGTCCTGGTTTGTTAGTGTTAAATCTACATCCCTGTTGAAGTGTAAGAATGGTGATAAACGTTTTCTTCTTTTAGAAATATTTATCATTTGTGAAAGGTATGAAGACTTATTCGAAACCGTTGAATACATCTCTTGTATTGTGAAGATATTCGTTCTTATTCATACCTCTCCACATTTGTCAACATGAATACGGTTCAATCTTTATTATGTTTATCTCTGCATTTACTGTTGAAAGTGTTGCATTCGGGGGCGTAGAACAGCGACAGGTTGGAATTAAGAGGCACCACTATGACCCTGTCCGCCAATTCTATGTCGCGCACATGGACGAAGAGCTGATAAAAGGAGAGAGGTACACTCTGCAAATGGAGTTCCTTGGTTACCTCAACGACCAGCTTCGTGGCTTCTACAGGTCGACTTACAGAGACGATGATGGGACTACAAAGTAAAAACATTTGATTTTGTTCATATTTATTTATTTTTTTTACACTCACTGAGCCTGTTACTTAATTTCTATTTCTAAGAATTAAGTGATGTTCATTAGGAGTCAAGTACTTAAATGCATATGCAATTAAGTCCTTCCTCCAGAGATTCGTATATAAGCACACACAAATAGATATGTAAAGAAAGTAGTAGGTTAATAGATTTATGAACATAACAGATTCACATGAATAGGTACAGAATCTTATCAAATACTTGTATATGGTGTTACAATAACGGACAGGTACTTAGCTGTGACCCATTTCCAACCCACGGACGCCCGCCGCGCCTTCCCGTGCTTCGACGAGCCAGCCCTGAAGGCGACCTTCGAGGTCCACCTGGCGAGGGAGACCTGGATGACGTCACTCTCCAACATGCCCCTCGCGATCTGTGTGTCTTAGTGAGTCTTTAACAACGTCGAAATTCAGAACGCATTTTCGCCTGGTTTATCATTTTGTGACGGTGATTTCTCTACAAAAACAGGGAAGGTCAGGAGGGCTGGGTGTGGGACCGCTTCGAGAGGAGCGTCCCCATGTCCACCTACCTCGTCGCCTTCGTCGTGTCGGACTTTTCCTACATCCCCTCCACCAGTGGCAAAGACACTCTCTTTCGAAGTGAGATTACCTGCAGCGCTTCTTTGGGAATCTTTCTTCTTAAAAAATGAACGCGCTTCCACAGTACAATCCGCATAACTCGCGCCCATGCTTTATCCAACCCGTTCCTTTCAACAGTATGGGCGCAGCCGTCAGCCATTCGACATGCTGAATATGTCAGTGAAGTCGGCTCAAAGATTCTGGCATTCTATGAGTCTTACTTCAATGTGTCTTACCCGCTCCCGAAAATGGATATGGTGGCGGTGCCTGACATAGCAGTGCGGGGCATGGAGAACTGGGGTCTGATTACGATGATGTAAGGCAGTGAGGAATTGATTTTGGTTGAAATGGAAATATAGTTATTCAAAAATATTAAAAGCCGTGAAATTAATTGTGTTTATATATACAAGTATGAGAAGTAATAATGTTAGCACTAACAATAGCATTACTAATGATAATTTCTCCGACCAGAGACAGGTCAATTCTATACGATCCTGACGTGGACTCAGCAAACCACAAGGACACGCTGCTCGAAGTCGTGGCCCACGAGCTGGCGCACCAGTGGTTCGGCAACCTGGTCACGCCCCGCTGGTGGGACGACCTGTGGCTCAACGAGGGATTCGCGACTTTCGTGGCTTACATCG